GTGAACCCCTGAGTGAAAGTGATTATGAGTCAGATAGCAGCCATGAAACTTTTGTTCCAGATAGTATTGATAGTGATTAGACACCTCTATAGGCAACAGCGTGAAACACGCGGTTGGTCCATCTTTATTACCCCAAAAGCTACCCCACCGTTTTGGCGGGTCAGGTCCCAGACCATTTTTATATAACATAAATATATAGTAATGGTAAAATCTTATTGTGTTAAACAGAAGAAGCAAACAGAATGTGTAGAACCTTCGGGTTACAAAACTAACAAAAATGGTAGACTTATGTTTTGGTGCACTTGTGCTGAATGCGGAATAAAAAAGTTTAAGTTTGTAAAATCAAAAAACTAGGTCAGCCTGTCCTAGGGGCAGGCGTATTAGACACAGTAGGTAGTACTGCTCTTGATGCGTTTGTACATCATGCCCTACCATATATGGCCAAAAAGACCGTTGGGATGGGAAGATATTACGGGTCAGAAGTGCTCAGAAACCCTAAATTACAGAAAAAAGCTATAGATTATGCTTTGGACAAATTAAATCCAATGATCCAGAATGTCGGTTCTCAAGCTCTTGACCAATTATCAACCAAAATACGACCAAAGAAAAACTACAAAACAAACAGAAAAGATTTGGACGGTGCTGGATTACTTGATAGTGCATTAACATCAGGTGTATTTGGATCTCCGTATCATGTGGATTATAAGAAAGGATTCCAATTATTGACTGACCCTGATTTGTTCAAAACACCAAACAAAAAAGAAATCACTGATATAAAGGAGCGTGTTAAATACTACAAGGAGCAATACAAGAAAGCTAAAGCTGATGGTTACAAGGGATCGTATACAAGTTGATGACCGGAAGTGCAAAAATAAAGCTGACCGTAAAATGGTAAAATAATTAGACGCCATTCCTTATAATGAACGACAATGGCGTCACTGGTTAGCTAGAAATCTAATAAACACAAAACAGAAACTCGGTCTTGGTTTAAACTAGAAAAGCCGTCGGGTATTAGTTGACAGCAACAATTAGCAGACGAATTGCATAAACCTATAAAACGCAACTTTACTCGGCGGCGCGTTATTACAACCGATATTGACAAAATTTGGTGCTCAGATCTGGTTGAGATGCAACAGTTCAGCAAATGGAACAAGGGTTACAGATATCTTCTCATGGTATTAGATCTATTCTCCAAATATGGCTGGATTGTCCCATTGAAGGATAAGAAAGGGGAAACTGTCACAGAAGCATTCAAAACCATCTTCAAAGAGGGCCGCAAGCCACAATATCTTTGGACTGATAAGGGGAAAGAGTATTATAACAAAAATATGAGGGAATTATTGTAAAAGAATAACATAACACTATACTCAACCGAAAATGAGGAAAAATCTAGTGTGTGTGAAAGATGGAACCGTACAATTAAAACCAGAATGTGGAAGCAGTTTACTGTCCAGGGTAATACCATACATTTAGACATACTACCAAAAATATTGAAACAGTATAATAACACCAAACACAGTTCCATTAAAATGACACCTGTAGAAGCTAGTACGACGAAGAATGAAAGTACCATATATTACAATCTGTATGGTGATATGAAGCAGTTGTCATCTAAGCCCAAATTCAAGATTGGTGATAAAGTTAGGATAAGCAAGTACAAAAGAAAAGTCTTTGATAAAGGGTACACACCTAATTGGACAGAAGAGATATTCCTGATCGATAAAATCTAATCCACAAACTCAATCACATACAGATTAAAAGATCTCAATAATGAGGAAATACAAGGCAGCTTTTATGAGCTAGAATTACTACCAGCAAAACAGGACGTATTTCGCATAGAAAAGGTCATTCGGAGGGATTATAAGAAGAAGCAAGCGCTCGTGAAATGGTTAGGATATAGTGACGACTTTAATAGTTGGATCCCATTAAGCAACCTGCAAGAATTATCTAACTAATAGTATATATGGAAGATCATAAGAAAGCTTGATGCCAAAATCCAGAGTAAGGAATCCGAGCTTAATGCACTGTTTACTAAAATCCAAAAATTAGAGGAAGAAATTGCGACATTATATCATAAGAAATTAATATCCAAAAAACTGGAAACAGTAGAGATGTCATTAACAGGCGTCTTAGGTGCAATCTTTGAAACAGAGGAAGAGAAAGAGTAAATTGCCAGCGTCCATAAAACGTGGACAGTGGATCTAAAGTGTTGGCGTAACAGATTGTGACGGCAACAAAACACCCCAAAAAGCTGGGCCGTCAAAACGACGGGTCAGGTTCAAAAAGCTGGGGTGGTAAAAACGGCGCCCCAGGTCTAATGTGCTGATAACGGCACCTCAGATCTAACAAACTTTTTAATCGATCATTCTTATCATATAATATGATCTGGATGATGATGTTTTTATGTAACGTATATATATGATAAGAATGATTGAAAAAATGTTTTTTAATGACGATTTAGAAATTGTGCTGACATCATATATTGATGATAAGCAAAATGTTTGGTTCCGAGGAAAAGATATTGCTACTATTCTCGGTTATATAGTAAACCACGAAATGCTATTGAGAGACATGTATCTAAAAATCATAAAATGATCCAATTGTGTTGGGGCCCTGAAACGGGGCGTCAACAAAATGACACTTAAGGGAAATATTACACATTCATTGACGAAGCCGGCTTTTATGAACTGGTATTTAACTCCAAATTAGAGTTTGCCAAAATATTCCGGGATTGGGTATTTACTACAGTCCTCCCATCCATCCGCAAGTATGGCCAATACAAACTATTTGATAATCCCTGGAACAAGATGATCATGATTGGCAATGAGAATGATCTCCATTATAAAGTAGTAGGCCTAATAAGAAGATATCCAGATTCCATATTAGTAGCAGGACTGGGAGAGAATCAGGATACTGATGACAAACGCCTCGATTCGTATAAGAAAGGATATATGAGAGGACAGCCTGATCTACTGGTACTCGATTATCACAAAGATTACAAAGGCCTCTGTATTGAATTCAAATCACCAACTAATAATTATCATGTCAGAAAGGCACAATATAAGTTAATGGAAAAATACAGTAATAATGACTATAAATTTATCCTGAGTAACGACTATGATGAAATCTGTATAGAAGTACACGATTATATGAAAGGCATTAGATTACCATGTAAATATTGTATCAAACATTTCTATAATAATGACACCCTTACTACCCATTACAGAGTCATCCACAGATTATCTAATTAATTAGTATATGAATGCTGACCAATTATTAGACAACTATAATGAACTCCAAAAGATAGAATTACGAAAGAATCTGAATACATATACGCTCAAAGAACTCAAAAAAGAAATCATCAAAATAAAGGCCGATAAGTTTGCTGTTACAAAAATGAAAAGACGACAGATTATTGAATTAATTGTACAGTATCATTATCTTTTCCCACATTTATTGACAAATAAAGGGAGTAAACGGACTACCAAACCTAAAAAACCGCAAACTCCAATAATCCAAAATAAACCACAAATAACTCCACGAATGCCGGCAACTCAAACTCTTCCACAAGCAACATTACAACATCTTAATAATTTAGCTAAATACAATCCATCAGCGCTTCAGGATATACCACAAGATTTTGTACAACAACTTAACTAACTAATTAATCTTCAAAATAAAACTTCTTTACTATCCACAACTTAATATCTTGTTCCACAACCACATGGGCAAACACCTCCATGGTTATTAATTATTTCATCAATTATTTCATTAACTTGAGGTTCATATATATTTCCATTTTCTCGTAATACCGAATCCCGTACTCCTAAATTTGTTCTTGGATTATAGTATTCTGTACGTTGAAATTCTCTGTTAAATCTTTCCCAATTTTCTTCTGGGCCATTTAATAACACATCATAATTGTCTTCTCCATCTGGACCCCAAAATAACTCATTATATTCTTCTTCTGGAATTCCGGTTTCCATTCGGGCCTCAATATAGTTTGGCAAAAAATACCGTGTTTTAAACTTTTTCAATGGCTTCAACTTAATTTCTGGATTAGGAGAATATTCCGGTGGTGGAAGATAAGAAGCAAAATATTCCGGTGGATTATCTGAAAATTTAAACATTTCATCTGGATCGTATGGTGGAGGTGAAATATTCTCTGTATTTATTATTCCTTGATATTTAATCGTTTCCGGAATTAATTCGCGTTCACTAACTTTAACTTCATCAATATACTCAAAATTTAATTTCTCAATTGGTTCTGTAATTACTTCCGGTTAGCATATTCTCGCTAAATATAATTTACTGGAATATTCCGGTTTTTGAACTGACAAGATTTCCCTTCCTTTGACAATAAATTCGGCTTCATTTATTTTGACTTGAACAACAGTATCCGGCGAAAGATTAACAATAACTTCTGTACCATTATGATACAAATTAACTGAACTCTGACTTTGACTTTGACTTTGACTCATTATACTATATTATATCGGCATTTCTTTAAGTACCTTTCGTTTTGTTCAATTAATTAGCAAAAAATAACCAGTCCAAACCAGTCCAAACCGGTGCCAAAAATGCTGACATCAGCAAAAATCCCGAAATATGGAAAGTGGTCTGGTACCCCCATATACTATACTACTCAGGGCCACTTGTCGCTTTCGAATCAAGTTCTTTAAAGTGGAATTTATCCATGGTGGCTCTGTTGGGTGAACAGTTTTAGGCTTCATCAGCAAAACAAAATCAAGGCCACTTTTGATGATCGTTTGTAACATCGACACCTTTTCTTCGCAAGTGATCATAGCTCTAATCATCGCGGTAACATCGACTTCATAGAGATAAGTTTGCATTGCAGGACGTCTACTTGGTCGTAAGTCCCTTGAAATAACAGTTTGTTTTGTTTGCGATGTTTTAACACTTGGCTTTGGTTGTACTACACCTGAAAGATGATCTGAGAGACCAAAAGCAGGACGCTCAACCAGGGAGTCGTAATATTCCTAAAGGTTGGTAAGAATCTTGTCGAGAGTGTTTTGCCCATGAGTAGGAAAATGCGCAATACGCTTCAGATTGAAGTTTGATCACAGGTAGCCCAAGGTTACTATGAGAGCCCTGAACAACATTATCCTACTTAGCTAATTAATTATTTGTACGACAACGGTTATAAGACGTTGTATGAAAATTATCCTATTTGTCCATAATTGAGCGAAACGTACATTAATTTTTTCTTTTTAGTGTTTTGTTACATTTATTTGTGTGTTGACTGCGTTTCAGGCCTCTTAGGATGCCAAGAACCCGAGAACAACACTACCCATCACGCTAATTAATTATTCATACAGCAAGAAAATTATAAGACGCTGTATGGAGAAATATTCTTTGCTCACTAAATTAGCAAAATGTACATTGAATATCGCTTTGAAGCTCACCTTTAGCGTCTTCTTGTTTTTCTTTGTATTCTGACTGCATTTCAGACCTCCTAGGCACTGTCTTATGCCTTTTTTAAGCGACAGTTTTTCACCCAGATGACAGCAGCAGAGAGAAGAGAAGAAAAGGTTGGCAAACCTCTCTTGACCGGCTCCGCTCTCGGCGGCGATAAATTCCGTAACATTTGCGACGTGGAGACAATGAACAACGTGCATTTTCCATCATTCACATCGCAACAACATCAGTTACTGTGCCCAGTAGGCTAAATGCTCTAATTGTCCTTTGACGGTTGAACAATTTGACCCTGCCAGCCCGCGTCGGTTTGAAATTGTCGACTTGATGGTTGGAGTCCGTTGCGGGTCTGCTCTCGACTCGCCTAGCCACGGCCGTGTATTGTCCATTTCGTTGGCGATTTAGGACCTTCGAAATGGGAATTTTGGCGATGTGAATGATGGAAAATGTGCGTTATTCATCAGGACATCTGTTTCTGGCGGAATTGTCTCCATGTCGCAAATGTTACGGAATTTATCGCCGCCGAGAGCGGAGCCGGTCAAGAGAGGTTTGCCAACCTTTTCTTCTCTTCTCTCTGCTGCTGTCATCTGGGTGAAAAACTGTCGCTCAAAAAAAGGCATCAGACAGTGCCTAGGAGGTCTGAAATGCAGTCAGAATACAAAGAAAAGCGAGAAGACGCTAAAGGTGAGCTTCAAAGCGATATTCAATGTACATTTTGCTAATTCAGTGAGCAAAGAATATTTCTCCATACAACGTTTTATAATTTTCTTGCTGTATGAGTAATTAATTAGCGTGATGGGTAGTGTTGTTTTCGGGTTCTTGGCATCCTAAGAGGCCTGAAACGCAGTCAACGCACAAATAAATGTAACAAAATACTAAAAGGAAAAATTTAATGTACGTTTTGCTCAATTATGGAGAAATAGGATAATTTCATACAACGTCTTATAACTGTTGTCGTATGAATGATTAATTAGCTAAGTAGGATAATGTTGTTCAGAGCTCTCATAGTAAGCTTGGGCTACCTGTGGTTTGATTTGAGCCTTGCGCTGTTGAGATGATTGAAATCGTCACGTACAAGAAGACCGCAGTTTGGGTATTTAGACTCCAAGTCCATTAAACATTTAGTTAGATAGTCCAACATCGTAGAATTTGTTGCTTTTGGTGGATGGAAAACAACGCCTGCAGTATTCTTGAGCTGCCCCTTGAGAGACGAGTCGGGCGCAATTAAATCTACAAAACCTCAAATGAACCATTTTCGTCCTCAAGATCCCCCAGAATAGTAAAAGGGATCGACTCTTTTAAATACATGCACATCCCGCCTTGTACTGCATCTCTCCTGTCCCTTCTAACGAGGTTGTACCCATTTATTGTCACTACAGAGTCGGAAATATGACCTTGTAGCCAGGTTCCGTTATGCAAACCACATCGAAATTTGCATTAGTAACAACATTGTTCACTTCGTCAATCTTCGGAGCCAAGGACGCGACATTCGAAAGAAAAAGCGAAGGAACAAACTGCGAGAACGTAGCTGGTTTAGCAGTAATTGTTTTAGAAACCGTAGTTTGTCTTTCAATAGTGAAAGCTTCCTGGCCAGCTAGGCTTCCTGGCCAGTCGAGCAGAACAAGATGTTTGTTGAATATTATATCTTCCTTGCAGCGTCGTGAACAAATAGCAGGGATAGCTTGGTTATTTGAATGTCCGTATACTACGCTCTGAAGAATAGCCAGAACGTCTACCACGATACTTAAAAATCCACAATGATTTCAGACGGTAGTAGAGAAAATTGTTAGACCACCGATGGCTTTGAAAGCGAATAGAAAGTAGCTCTTCTCGGGTGTAAACCTTGCGGGCGAAATCGTTTACCACTCCGTTCGAGGTTGTGGAGTAAGAGTGTCGAGCAGGCATAGGGGACC